TTAATTTTATTGATTGCGCTGTAAATTTTATCTGTATAAGGCCTCTTAGGAATAATAAATAAATGGACAACTTTTGGATTGTTTTTTTTTTTTTTTTTTTTTGTATATAAAGGACACTAAGAAATACTGCAGAGGTTGAACAAATCATAGCTTTTATAAGAAGCTCCAAAAAACTTTCCGCTCGGACGCTGATGTGGCGCCAGAGGATTGTATGCAAGTACAAGTTGTTCAGATGTGTCACCAGTTTGCCAAGGTCTGGCAGAAAGCCTGCTTTCACATTGCCAAAGTCAACACCCACCTTTTGGAGCCACCCACATGGAGAAGCCAGGTGCCCTTTAAAAAAATATTTGAGATAAAACAAAAGCTAAATTACACATTACTGCTGGTTTTGGAAAGGATAAAAGAGCCCAACAGTCAAAACACTGAAACGACCTGCAAAGAATGGAGCTCTGAAATCCAATAAAGCCATTATCTTGTTAATGGATGGGGGAATATGGTGGAAATACTGAGGATATATTCAGTATTAGGTAGTTTAAAAAAAAAAAAAAAACAGTGAAAACACAGAAAATACAAACTTATTTGCATATTTTAAGAAAATTAATGGAGTTGTTCTGTTATTCCACATCTGAAAAAAGTACTGTTCAAAGTATTTATGCTCATGCTGATTATGGAAGATTGGAAACTTCTGACCACAGCGCCACCTATTGAAAAAAGAGGAACATTACTATCTCTTTAGGGGAAAACATTTGTTTTTATGGTAACTTTCAGAGACCAAAGTCACACAATTTTTATGCAATTGCATGTCTACAACAGCACTGCAAAATTATTGTGAACTATTTAGAAACATGCTCAAAACCAGGGAAACAACTGTGGAGAGTGAAGTGAGAAGTTTGGGTATATTTATAGAATAGAATAGAATAGAATAGAATAGAATAGAATAGAATAGAATAGAATAGAATAGAATAGAAAAGAAAAGAAAATCCCTTTATTGTTCCACAATGGGGAAATTGTGGTGTTACAACAGCATGAGGCAATAGCAGAAGTGGTCACACAATATGGACCTTAGAAAGTATAAATATAAGAAAAGAAAATAAAGTATTGTTCTTTACACTGTTTTTACAATATAAATACTCTATATCTGGAGTATAAAAAAAATCAATAACAGCTGTGAACATTTTTACAGAAATAGATATGTGAAGAATAGCAGAAACACCAGAGATGCGCAATAAAGTTTTATCTTGTATACTCTAATAATCCCAGAGGGAAATTACTTCTCTGCATTTAACCCATCCCCTTGGGGAGCAGTGGGCTGCCATTGTGGGGCGCCCAGGGAGCAGTGTGGGGTTAAAGGTCTTGCTCAGGGAACCAGAGTGACTGTCTGTGGGATTCAAAGCCCTATGCATCCCTGACTCTAAAACATTCTGTGACCGGCAGAGAGTGCCGAATCCTAACCACTAGACGACCAGGGATGTAATCATGTTTAATGTGACTATTTAAGCTGGATTGTGCTCAAAGATGCAGATGGAAAATAATGCAGAAAGTAAATGAGAAGTTTTTCAAGGAAATAAAAAAAAAATCCCCCTCATCCAAACCTGCTCTTATATGTTAAAGAAAAACTGGTAGGAAAAATAAACTGAAATAGCTGAAGTGAAACAAGAAGAAACTAATTTTTTGGTTTATGTCAGTTTGTTTCAGTGCTTTGAGTAACCTAATATGTGCAAAACTAACTATGAATTTAAACCCCAAAGAAACCATGATCTCCAAAAGTATTCTTGTAGATTCCACATTTTAAACACAGTGGTTTCACTGTCCATGTCACTGCAGGACATGGTTCTATAGACACTAGAGGGAACCAGAGATCTTTCATATAGTGCCACATTTTTTCATTTCAATTCTCCAGAATAAATTTAACTATAATATAGATCACAAATGTTGGAATATTTTATTTTATGAAGAAAGTTAGATTTTTTTTTTTTTTTATCGACCACCCATGGGGGCTGGAGACACACTTCCCGCTTAAATCTGCCAGCTGGAAACAGTAGGCCATTATTACATGAGCTGAAAGGAAGCATCCCACACTGGGAGTATTCAAAGGAGTATTAGGCTGTAATCTCATCAAATACAGCCGTTCTAGCAATAGATCTCTGCTGTAATGCTCTGAGGAAATGTTGGTATTAAATATTTGCAAAGTAAATGCAAACAAACGAACTGAGATGAAGTGGACGAAAGGGGAAAAGAAGTTTAGTTTACCTCTAAAGTTTAATCTGAGAGATTGGTTTCAACCCACCTTAAATTCATCTCAGCATCAAGTTCAAAAAGCGATGAAGTTACGTACATTTAGCAGTAGGCTACTGGTATTTCTCTGCTATTTTCTAACACTTTGGCAATGTGTCATTAACTGTTGCTGTAAATAAGTTTTAGTGTTCAAGGCAGCCATATTGTATTTTGAAGTCAGGTTTGATAAGAAGCCTTTGGTATCAAAAGCAGACAATCATGTATCACAAATGAAACACATAACATCTCTAACTTCAATTATGCAAAAAATATGTTTTTTAGTTGCCAGAATGTTTAATGTGTTAAAAAGTGTTAAAAATGTATGTCGCTTATTTAATGGTTTTGGTTTACAGGGTTAAAAGTTAGGACAAAACAAAAATATTTCCTAAAGAGGAAAGATGATTTTCCTCAACAGATATTTTCTGGAAGAAAAAAAAAACTTTTTAAGCTAATGACAAGAAATATGGATCTTAAAGAATGTTTCTAGTTTTCTAAAATCCTTCTGCTGTGAAATTTAAAATCAAATGTTATTTGTAAAAATCTGAAAAAGCGTCTGAGAATGGAATTTGTTCTTGGAATATATTCAAAACCATTAGTGGGTTCTTTATAATACTTAATCTGTTAAGAGCCATTGAGGGTCCAAAGAGCCACAGGTTGCAGACCCCATGGTCCAGAAGTTACTCTGAAAACATGGAATTAACTGAGGTGCTACTGGTTATAAAAAGGGTCACGGATCCAATGGATTATAAATAATTCATGGCGCACTTGTTGCAACTGAAGCCAGAAAACACAATCCACATCAAATTAGGACAAAGGTGTGAAGGTCAGAGGATGCACCTGACCTAAATCTGTAGGTCGGTTTTACTGTAACAATTGATTAAATGTCTGTCAAAATAAAACGTGTTTAAAATAGTTGAAGGTTTGAACTATTGCAATTTAAGTAAGGTCAAGAAG